ATTATGATCTTATCAATAATTTTTTTGGTAATTTATTCAGCCAACAACAACATATCTGCAATCTTTAAGTACTCAACACAACAAAAAAAAAAAAGCAATAAAGATTGTTAACTTTTTTTTTCTTCTGTTTTTATATTCATATAATTTAATGAAGAAAAAAAAGTTTACTAACTTCTGTTGGCCTATGAGCATCAAATGTTACTGATTTTTATCATCAGATGTTCTGTTGATACAACTAAGGAAACAATCCAGGTTAGTTTTAGCGATACAACAAGGTACATCATCACAGAATTCTTCGTTCCATTTTTTACTTGTTGAAAAGACACGGTCGTTATTTTGCCATACCCTTATCACTTCCCAATATCGACACATTTTTTGTTGTTGCACAATTATGTGACAACAGTGTTTTTTGACTATATATATTAGGTTTCCAAATCTTTGTTTTGTTTTCCACTGACGATCATATGTTTTTTCGCCTTGACAACGTTGAATTACGAAAGAAATATTTGAAAAATTCAGTAATTTTGGTGCATAAGCATTTCCTGAGCAATAAGCTGATACTTAAAAGTCTGTTGAAAAGGCTGAAAAAAAAAGTGAATTGTTAATCACTCCTCTCTTTTGTTCTTCTTTTTTTCCTCCTCTTTCTAAAAAACTTAATCCAAATTTTTTTTTTTTTTGCAGTTATTAACCATTTAAAAAAGTTTATTCCATATTGTCTTAAAACTTTACAGCAAGTTTTTTTCTTTGTCATATTACTTTTCAGCTCTTTCCTCTTTTTTTTTTTTCTTCTAACTTTTTGTATGTTATTTATGATTATCAGTCGCATACAGTTTTACGCTTTCTCAGTGACATTTTAAAATAGCAGATAAGAAGCATTAAAGAGGTTAGGCAAAAGCTGACAACAGTGAAAACGCTGTCTTTCAGTTTTCAGTTGCTAAAAAAATAAACATATTGTAATAACAGTAGCAGCGGTAATGGCATCGAAAAATATAATAATAATAATAATTTTAAGCTAAAACTTTGGTCTTCAATCATAG